TTTTGCTAGGGGATAAAAGTTCCCCTTTATATCAATGCACCTATTCTACTGATAAAAGGCTTTGCTGGAGAGACAAAAAACCACTCTCTACAGCAAAGAAGTCCAAGTGAACCCTAAGCAGTATTTCTGCAAGCAGGGGAGCACTGATCACAACGTGGTCTCACTCCTCTGTCTGCCACATGCAAATTTCTTTATGTTATATATAAATTTCTCTCTGCCATGTATGCTGGGAAGAAATCCCAAGCAGCAACCCCAAAGATCTCTGCTTGAGTGAGTTAAATGTGACACCAGCTGAATAAACTGACCACCAATCCAACTACACTGCCAGTGACACACAGGCTGCTCCAGAGTACAAGGGATGACTCCGTGAAAACACGCTGAAAGGGACAACTCCTTGAGAAAACCAGGTGTTTATCAGCTGCTACAGCTCCTCCAAACACTCAGTAAGGACCCAATGCCCCCATGCTACTTACACACTCCAGCAGGTACAGAGCTTCCTCAGGCTGCAAGCACTGTTTGCCTCGCTCCGAGAACCCCATGGTGTGCCAGAACTTCCCCTGCAACAGAAGCACAAATTCCTGATGGGCTCTGGCTGCTCCCTGCAGACAGCCAGGCTCCCTCTCATTTCAAAAAGCAAATTAAGGAATCTGTGAGGCAGCAGGAGGTGAGGACTCTGAGTACATTCTGTAGCAACTCACCGCAGGGGACAGCAGCTCCACGATGCCCTGTCCTGGCTTCCACTCAGCTTTCACCCGATTGCCCCTGAGAAGGTTGAAGATTAGTTTGTTACCACTGGTGTGTCCTACAATCAGCTCCCAGGGTAGCAACACAATGAGCTCAGGAAGGTGTCAAAAGGCAGCAAAGTCACAGGTGGCATTTTTACAGGGGGAGATGTCAGAAAGACATCATTCCCTGGATCTGGAAGGGTTTATCATCACCAACGAGTTAAAAGTGCCTTCAGTCAGCATCACAGATGCATGTCCATAGGCTACAGCAGCCTGCTGGAGATGCATGGCCTAAGCCAGGATACATGGATACTGAGGCCCTGGCACAGGTTGCCCATCCCTGGAAGTGTCCAGGGTCAGGTTGGATGAGGCTTGGAGCAACCCGGGCTAGTGAAAGGTGGCCCTGCCCATGGCAGAGGGTGGAAGGAGATGATTTTTAAGGTCCCTTCCAACCCAAACCATTCTGTGACTCTGTATTATGCAATCGTTCAGCTGCTGCCAAGACACACTCAAATTGCTGTACCTCACCCACGGGATGCGAGAAACTTTTCATAAGGAAAAACTAATAGCTGCAGGCCAAACTAAGAAAGTGTGTGTTGAGAGGCAGTGTGTGAACATCTCCCAAGGAGTGATAAGCTCCAGAGACTGGCAGGAGTATTGTTGAAACCACCAAAACTGGTAAAGCAGGGACACTGAGAGCCAGATAAATCAGCACAGGGCCACACAAGAGCATCAACAAGGTGTTCTGTAACTCAGACCATGCCCAAGAGGACAGTGGCTGCTGTCTGCAAAGGCCTACAGGATTATACACACACCTGTGAAAGACAGAAACCCCTTGAGGAACTTTCTGAACAGCCACAGGTGTGCCAGCGTGTCCCTCTGCTCCTGCAGGAACAGCCAGGCTGTGTCCCATTGCTGCTGCTGCTCCAACCGGGCAAAGCTGTGTGCGGAACTGAGGGGGCCCTTACTGTTTTAACTAACACCTCCCTGCTGAATAACAGCTCGATCCTGCTGATAATAACCCCGGAGCTGAGCTCTGCCCCCCATGCATCACCCCTGCATCACCCCTGCAGGGGACCCAGCCATGCCCAGCCCCAGGGCCGCACTTACGGCCGCTCCAGGCGCTCCTCGGACAGCGCCCACCACTGCTCCTCGCAGCACCGCCGCAGCCTCTCGGCCTGGCGGGCCGAGCCGTCAGGGAAGAAATCCTTCTGCCCGCGGGGGCACCGCGGGGCCTGGGGGCCGCCACCCGCCGGCCGCTCCTCCGTGCTGAGGGGGGAGAGGAGAGGGGGCTGTGAGCAGAGGGAGCCCGACACCCCGCTGCGGCCGCCCAGCCTGGCCACCCCCGGTGCCCCCCCGGTCTGCGGGTCCCCCCGGTGCCCCCCAGGCCGCCCCGGTGCCCACGCCCGTCCCACCTGAGGCGGCGGGACCCGCCGGGCTCCATCGGCTCGTCCTTCCGCCGCCGGGCACGAGCGCCCTCGGATCGCCGCAGGCGCCAGCGCGCCCCCTGGCGGCGCGGAGGACCGAGAGCGGCGGGCACCGGGAAAGAGACCGGGAGCGCGGTGGGAAACGGGGAAGGGAATGGGACACCCGGCACCGGGGAGGGCTCCGGGGGTGTGCGGGGAGTTTTGCCCCGGGACTCTGACCCAGACGCACTGGGCTGAGCTGCCCTGGGTTACGGCTCCGCACCAGCGATGGGGAGAAGGGGAGGAGAAGCGGCTCGTGGGTTGGGATAAAGGCAGCGGGATCGCTCACCGATAACCCACGTGGGTAAAACAGGCTGGATTTAAGTTTAAAAAAAAAAAAATAATATGTTTACAATTAGTGTTAGACACAGACTTGGATATCTGCACCATTTGTGACTTCAGGGAGCACTCCAGCACCTGGACCAGCTCTTCTTCCCCCTGACCATGCTGCTCATCCAGGCTGTCTCACACTCTCTCCCCTCACTGCATTTTGCCCTTTCTTCAAGGCATTTCCACAGAGGCATCATCAGCATCACTGATGGGCTCAGCCGTGCCCTGCCGTGGGGCTGTTCGAGCCATGTGGAACCAACCAGAAGCATCTGGAAGTGGCTGCATCTCGCACGGGGCAGCCCCAGCCTCTCCTCCCGGAGCCCGCCGGGCTGGGCTGAGCTCTCTCCCATGTGCTACAGCCCCCGGAGCAGAAGCAGAGGTGCTGGGGAAGGAGGATTCTCCCTTCAGTGGGTGTCACTGCTCCTCCTGGCTCAAGCTCCAGCGGTGCCGGTGCCATCAGGCTGCCTGGAGCATGTACCAGTCCGGCTGGGCTGGGAAGCACGAGAATTCCCTGCACCACGGCCCCGTGCTTCTGCTGACACGGCTGGATTTGCTGCTTGGGGGAGGCATGAACATATGGGACGGGGAAACGCACCTAAAGTTCAAGTTTCACCTCAAACCCGTCTCCTGTTGCTGCGGGATAACTCACAGGAGGCACTGAGCCTCAAGCAGGAAAAACACAGCTTTCCCCCCATCGGAGTCCCTGGTTCCAGCCGTGGTTTCCCAATAAAAGCCCTTTGACAAGATGCCAGCAGAGGCAGATGAATGCAAAAGCCATTCCTGTCGATTTTCCACTGTGTGGTTTAATTTTCACCCCCTGCCTGATTATTTCCTCCTCCTGAACTGAGCCTTCACCCTGCAAGGAGGTCAGGTGATTTTGGCCAGCAGCGCCCCTCTGCAGCATGGGGGGGACACAAGGGACAAGGACACACAGACAGTGCAAGGGGCAGCAGTGGCAGCACTTTTCCACCTTGATTTCCTAAAAAATCACATATCTAGGAGACTACTTGGGCTGCCTAATTATCATATAATCCCAGGACTCCACATCCTGTGGCTTTCAGCTTTCAGGCTGTCACCCCTTTGTTTAACTCAGCCTTCCCTTAAAATAGATGTGTTCAAATTGCTCAGGGAAAGGCTCTGATCCAGAATTTTCTTTTGTCACCCACTGTGATTACAAGCCCCAGAAATGTCAAGACTAATCTCGGTCTGTGTTTCTTTTCAATACTGGGATTTTAGCTGTCATGTGGTGGGGGGACATCCTGTTCCTCTCAGGAGCACCAGCAGAGCCTTGTTCATGGTGGGACTCGTGTTCTCCCCAGCTGAATCCTCTTATCAGCCCTAATTCTGAGTGTCATCAGCTGGGTGTGGGTGGTCCTGGGGGGCTGCACTTCCCATTCTCTTCTTATAAATGGAGGGTGAGGGGGAGCCCCCTCTTTTTTCCCTTTAGATGTTCTTCTGCATTTGGGTTAGGAGTTTTAGTGTTAAGTTTCTATATAACTGCTTTGAAACCATGACTGTGGTCAGCTCAGTGGGTTTCTTTTCTTAGATTAGGGGTCTTTGTTTGCATGGGGTAGAACCCTAATGCAGTTTGAGTGGAGCAGCTGATGGAGACTGTCCTGGGCTCTCTGCAGTGACTATTTGTGGAGCTAAAATAATGGTTACAGAGCTGAGCAGTGGCTTGAATGGTCTGCTCAGGGGGTCCTGGGAGCTCAAACAGGGATGGATGTGTGCCTGTAAGCCTGGAGGCTACCAGGGAGGAAAAGTGTGGGTTGTGTGGCTCCAGGATCCAGCTCTTGCTGTCTGGGTGGCACGTGCAGCTCCCAAAGCAGCTGTGGAGGAAGCTGATGGTGGAGGCCAAAGCAGCTCCTCAGTGCCCTCACCCCAAGGAAGAAAGGGCTTGATTTGACTGGAGAGACACAACACTGAATAAACCAGTGCTGGGCTCTTGGGGCAGGTAAGTGTAGTGGGTTTGCCCACTGCTCTTTTTTTTTTTTTTTTTTTTTTTTTTTTTTTTTTTTTTTTTTTTT